GTTCTACATAGTTAACCATCCTCTCTTCTCCCCAGAATATAACTTCACCTGGTCCACCTGTGTTATCTTCATGCCTAGAGATCCTCAGCTTTATTCTGTCCAGGGAATGAACCTCCAGTCTTCTGCTGTGGTGATAAATTGTAGATTGCCCAGTTGTGTAGATTCTGGGAGGGGTCTTGGTATATACCTATAACTCTTACTTTGAGTTTCACTTTTACCTAACTTTCAGTACTGCCCGTTGCTGAGTCTTTTGAGGATTCTCTGATGTATTAATAATTGTGAATCTCATTTTCCCAGTGACTCATTTTCCTCTATTTGCTTTGAAATTTTTTGCAGTTTTCTCATTTCCATTCTCTTTGACCTCATTTTTATGCAGAAGCCAACAATCAGAAGAAATCTTTGTTATCTTAGGGGGAGACTTTTTAGTAAAGATGAATAAAATGTGTATTTTAATATGCCGTTTGACATTTTCTGTCAGATCTGTTGAAATCTTTCTCAAATGTCTCCTTCTACCTTAAGCATTTAATGATGCTTCAACCAGATACATCATTTTCTGAAAATCTTTCTTCCTACCTTGGACATTTTTTCTTCTCTCTTAAGACTCTTTTACATCTCATGTTACTTGTATTTGCATGCTTATCTTACATCCTGCCCTCCTCCCTACACCAGACTATAACTTCTTTGAGGACCTTGACTGATACAGAATTGCTGAAAAAAAGTTTGTTACATAGTGTATTCTGTATGTTTTATCCTCTTCTGTGTCTGTCTTGTAAAACATTTTTTGAATATCAGCAATGTATTAAATATTAAGAATAGCAAAGTAGGGAATCAATACAATAAGGCAACAAAAGAGATTAAATTTAGATATAAAGAAGTCTGAGAATTGTTAGACCTTGATATGGTGAAAACTTTCAGTGTAGATTCCTAATAATAATGAAGTATACATATCTTTCTGCTATGACACAAAAAAATGAATTACCTGATCTGTTAATGTTTTGGCCAGGCTTATGATTCTGTAACTTAGATATCAGATATGTTTGCTGTTGCTACACTCTTGTAATACCTGTAGTTTAATGGACTCTAATGGTAAATGCCAGAAATATTCTAAAATACTTGAAAAGAATGCACTTTAGATAAAATAAATCTTTTAAATGTATTGGAGTAGCTAAATATATAAATAAGCTCATATTTATAATTTCCTTTTAAAAACAATTTTCATATTTTATAAAAAATTTTTTTTAACAGGTCAGTGCTGTTACTTTTCTTTTCTCCTATTTAAAATGCTCAAGAGTAAACTTGCAGGAATTGAAGTGTAAATTATTTGGATGAAAGATTATTGCTTTAAAAATATTTATTTCTCTAGTATATGTTAAGAAATTGGACATGTTTTCTAAATGTATTAGTTTTTTTGAAAATAAAAGGAAGACTATCATCTGCTTTTTTTTTTTTTTTAAAGACGGAGTTTGACTCTTGTTACCCAGGCTGGAGTGCAGTGATGCGATCTTGGCTCACTACAACCTTTGCCTTCTAGGTTCAGGCTCTTCTCCTCCCTCAGCCCCTAGTAGCTGGGATTACAGGTGCGTGCCCCCGTGTCTGGCTAAGTTTCTGTAATTTTAATAGAGATGGGGTTTCACCATGTTGGCCAGGCTGGTTTTGAACTCCTGACCTTAGGTGATCTGCCTGCCTTGGCCTCCCAAAGTGTTCGGATTACAGGCATGAGCCACTGAATATGTAAAAGTTGCTGGAGTCTGGAAAACATCGGTGGTCACTACTGTGTTCTTTTGCAGAGATCAGAACTAAGGAAACTGATGGTATTTGGTTCATTACCACAGTCAAACAAGCTGAAATGATAGTTACACGTGGATATTTGTTTTTATTTTCAAATTTTCTGGCACCTTACAAATAATTTATTAGGAAGTGACTTAAGAAAACACATAGAAGCATTACTCTAAAAATTCCAGTCTTTTGAAACCATATTATTTGAGTACAGCATATGTAGATGCTAAAAAATTTTTGTTTTTTTGAGATTCATGGGATATATGTGGAAAAGATAAACTTGGTGTTTATAGTTTGGCTCGGTTAATTCTTAGTGTCCATGTCACTTTCATAATTTCTTCATAAAAAATGTAGCCACATACAGATTTCTGTTCACTTGCAACACAAAATAATATGAGTTCCATTTCCAACTAAGTATCATGAAACGTTTCTGAAAGTGTGGTTTATGTATTTTAAGTGCTATAGATGGGTGACCTGCTTAGCTTTAATTTTTGGAGAAATACAGTTTTAAAATTTTCATCAGATTGCTAAAATTGTGAGTAAGGGTAATGATACCATGCTTATATTCTGGTTAATACCTATCCTTTTTATAATATGTTTCTGTCTACATACATTCCTTTTAGTGTCATTACCTACTGAGTTTCTGTGAAAATAAATTTGCTTTGCCTATCGAAACAATCCTTGACATTAATGCTTTTACTGTTTACTTTTCTTTGACAGTTTTAAAAATTTTCTTTTTGAAGGTGTTAGTTCTAGTTTCATTGAGAAGGTAAAGCATGGCTATGGATGACTACTTAAAGCAAATGATTCTAGAAAATGCCCTTAAGATTATTGTTTAACATATAGTTTAATGTGTGTAGCTGGTTTTATTTTGGTAGTGGGAAAGGATTGTTTTCCTGTAATCAAGTCCATCTTGTATTACTGAGTCAAGGAAACTATAATATTTGGGTATATTCATTTAAAATTTTTCTTTTTAATTTAAAACATTGTTTTTCAAAATAACATTTGGGTTAAGGGGTACATGTGCAGGTTTGTTATATAGATAAACTGTCACGGGAGTTTGTTGTACAGATTATTTTTTTCTGTGTTCACTTTTGAATGATAGAAAAAGAAACTCAAGATGGATTAAAGACTTAAACATAAGACCTAACACCATAAAAACCCTAGAAGAAAACCTAGGTAAAACCATTCAGGACATAGGCATGGGCAAGGGCTTAATGACTAAAACACCAAAAGCATTGGCAACAAAAGCCAAAATAGACAAATGGGATCTAATTAAACTCCAGAGCTTCTGTACAGCAAAAGAAACAATCATTAGAGTGAACTGGCAACCAAGAGAATGGGAAAATAATTTTTGCAAGCTGTCCATCTGACAAAGCACTAATATCCAGAATCTACAAAGAACTAAAACAGATTTACAAGAAAAAAACAAACTCATTCAGAAGTGGGTGAAAGATATGAACAGACACTCTCCAATAGAAGACATCTATAAGGCCAACAAACATGAAAAAATGCTCATCATCACTGATCATTAGAGAAATGCAAATCAAAACCACATTGAGATACCATCTCATGTCAGTTAGAATGATAATCATTAAAAAATCTGGAGAAAACAGATGCTGGAGAGGATGTGGAGAAATAGGAACACTTTTACACTGTTGGTGGGAGTGTAAATTAGTTCAACCATTGTGGAAGACTGTGGCAATTCCTCAGGGACCTAGAAATAGAAATTCCATTTGACCCAGCAATCCCATTACTGGGTATATATCCAAAGGATTATAAATTGTTGTATTATAAAGACACATGCACACATATGTTCATTGCGGCACTGTTTATAATAGCAAAGAGCTGGAACCAACCTAAATGCCCATTGATGATAGACTGGACAGGGAAAATGTGGCACATGGAATAATATGCAGCCATAAAAAACGATGAGTTTGTGTCCTTTGTATGGACATGGATGAATCTGGAAACCGTCATTCTCAGCAAACTGACAAGAGACCAGAAAATCAAACACCGCATATTCTCACTCATAGGTGGGTGTTGGACAATGAGAACACATGGATACAGGGAGGGGAGCATCACACACTGGGGTCTGTTTGGGGGGAATAGGGGAGGGACAGCAGGGGAATAGGGAGTTGGAGAGGGATAACATGGGGAGAAATGCCAGATATAGGTGACGGGGATGGAGGCAGCAAACCACATTGTCTCGTATGTACCTATGGAATAATCCTGCATGTTCTGCACATGTACCCCAGAACCTAAAGTGCAATGAAATATACTTTAAAAAATCAATTATTGTTGACTAGAGTATTGCTTGTAGCTATGGATTCGCAACTATAGGTGCCAAATTGTAGATTAAGAAACAATCTATATGAGAACTTACTTTTTATTTTAATGTATACTTCCGGTTACTAGTTTCACCTTTTCAGGTTTTTCAGTTTTTTCATGGTTTGTTTGATAAGGCTGCTGCTCCTTTTTTTTTTTTTTTTAAGCCCTGATATTAATGGTTTTATCTTTTCATTTTTATGACATAAATTTAGGACAAAAACAAATATTATTCTAGTGCTTGTCTTTCTTACATACTTAAAAGAGGAATTCTGGATATTCATTTGTGTTTTTCTTATCCCTCATATCCCCTGAATACATGACTTGATTTATCTTGATCAGCCTAGTAACTTGCTCCACATTCTTCAAAAAATGCAAAGCAGTTTCAGCTAAAAATACACATATCAAAATGATCCAAAAGTTGTGGCCACAGCTCAAAAATGCTGATCAATTTTGAAAATCTAAATCAGCCTTGGCCCTGAAACCGAGGGAAGAACCTTTGTGGTGGGGGACAGATTTCCAAAAACTCACCACAGTCCTGTTCTTAGCTGAAGTTTGTGCTGATGTTGCCAGACAACTGAGGAATAGATGCAAAAAGCAGGAAGCATTATTGAATTGAGCCCTAGCGCCAATTTGGGAAAAGCAAATTAAAATGTAAAAGAATATTTTTCCACTCCTGGTGTCCCAACATAAAATGGCCGAATACATGGTTGCTGAAAAAGTTACAGAAATTGCTAATTTTGCCAAAAAGTAAAAGCCAATTACAAATTCTTATTTCTGCATTAACACATAGACAAATAATTTTATTTTACAAATATGTATACATTTAAGTTGGAGAAGTATTTTGACATAAATGACTGTGTGGGCTTGTTTCAATATCTCTTTATATTTTTCAGGTGCCACTTAAAGAATGGATGATGATGATTTTGGTGGTTTTGAGGTATGCACTGTTATTTACATTAGTTTGTTTTAACTTTGTGGGATTATAATGGAGTAAACTGTTTTGAGAATGTATTATATTTCATTGGCATCATGATCTTTCCTTGATCATTTTTATGTAATTCTGGAGTAAAAAGATGAAATCAGGGAAAATTAAAAATATACCCTCTAAAAATTAAGACTGATTTATTATTTAACATTTGGACTTGCCCATAGGAATGGTTTAAGTTGAAGTAATTAAGTGCTACCAGAATAAGCACTAAAGGAAAGATTTTAAAAATTGTCAGCAGATGATTTTACTGGGATACATGTATATTAGGAAATACTTGTGAGATGACAGATGAGTACTGAAGATCCTGTCACATATTTGCATGTTTACACCTGTAATGACTTGATTTAATATATTAAGTGCATCGCCTTTTCGTGGCTATAAAGTTAATTAGTATGTTGTATTATTAGATTATTCTAGTAGGTTAGGATAGGATACTTTGTAAGTGGAAATTGTTAGCTGAAGAAGCACTGTCTTTTCCCTAATCCTTTTCAATGTGTGTTCATTTTATTGAAATATTTTATAACCCAGCTATTTTTATGGAGCCAGTATAGTCTTGCAGGAAAATCTCTGGATTAGGAGTCAGAATGCCTGAGCTCAAGTCCTGGAACTACCATCAAGTGAACGCTGTAGTTTTTTTTTTTTTTTTTTTTTTAAAGAATTTTACCTACTTTGGATTTGGTAAAAGGGAATTATAAAAACTCGGGATTGTAAATAATGACCTTAATAGGATAAATAAGATGTTAAGTATATATTCAGTGTTCTGAATTTCATGAAAGAATGGTGTGAGGTTTTTGTTAGGTTAGGATCTTTTTCTCTTTTATTGATCTTTAAAATCAGTCAATATGGTGTCTAGACATACCTGTTTTCTCTGTTTCATCTAAAACTGGTTTTTGTTTAAGCATGCTTGTATGCTTTCTGCATTTTGCTTAATATTTTGGGTTTTATTGAGTGATTGAATCTTATTTATGTTACCGAAATGTAACATTTATTTTTGTTAAAATGCCTTCCATTTTGAAGAAAATGTATATTTTAGATATCATCTGACTTAGTTTATTGTTTGGAAGTTGTTAGTTATTTGAAGGTTACAATCTGGCATAGTCTTCTTTATTTAAACCACACTTCATGTTTCATTTAGGAAAAAAATACAGTGGATAGTGTTCTGTAGGGTAACAGTATTATACTTTGTTATATTCATCAAATTGATTCCTTTCAGTACTGCATAGGTGCAGGTTAACCAACATTATAATTTAATTGTAGTTAGGTTTTTTTTTCTTTCCACATCCTGCTGTATAAATAGAGAGTCTCTATTGTTAGTTATATGAAATATGTTCATTTTTCTTAGCTGTAGAGAATAGTTACTATATTCTGTGTCACTTATGTCCTGTCTCAGATTGCCTCTTTTAACTTTTCCTTAATTTGTAGGGTACAAATTGAAATTGTAGCTCTAATTTTTAGTAGAAAATTTACTGTGACCTGGGCATCTAACAGAAAACTCTGTGCTCTTACCTACAAACTCAGTATTCAGTAATTGTTCCAAAATAAATAGGATGGCTTATTAATTGAAAACTTGAATTCTAGGAATTCTCTAAATATTGAATACTATTAAGTCTGACTAGTATATTATTCAAGGCAGATGAATCCTATTTCTTTGCATTAATCTCTAATTGGGCCTTGTGCTAATTAGTTAAAAGGATTTGGTGTCTATATTTTTAAAGACAAATATTTTTCCTGCATAGATGAGTAAATGTAAGTTAAAATACTTAGATATAAAGTTTACAAGTGAAAATGTCATTAAGGATGTATGAAAGAAAAACTTCATTGATGAACAGTAATTTGAATAAGGAAAGAACATTTTTACTTGAAGATAATAAGGCATGGGTACTGGGGATGGTGAGTCATGGCAGAAGTGGTAGCAGTGAAGACTGAAAAGCAATTGGGTATTGAGAGGGAATATGAAAGTGTCTGGTGTATTACAGAAGATAAGCCTGTAGAACTGGAATGCTTGATCACTGAAATAGCATTCCTATTTTTCGTCTCTTCTACAATAATCTTGCCTTTGTTTTGTAGGCTGCGGAGACTTTTGATGGTGGAAATGGTGAAACCCAAACAACATCTCCTGCTATTCCTTGGGCTGCCTTTCCTACAGGTATTGATATCTAGGAAGTAGGGTTTTTTTCCTCCATGTAACAGTTTTGCCTGTTCTTTGAAACCCTGTTTCTTACTTTACTTGTCCTTCTCTGATATGAAAAGTGGAATGATCCAGATTTACTCTTTAGGTTTTTAAAATAACAAATTGTGAATTATATAACAAATTCTGTGCTAGTGACTTGAGGTCTGATTCTAAAGATGATATCAGGAACATTAAATGAAATTAAAATAGAATGGAAGGTGAAGTGCTCCATAACTGTTTTAGGTTGTCTAGTTCATTAAGGACTCCTTTTTATATTCTAAAAATAATTTATCATCTTCACTATGTTTAAATTTAAAAGTATTTTTGCAATAAAATCATTCAAAAGTACTGAAACTTAAAATTGTCTTCTAGCCAGGCATGGTGGCTCATGCCTGTAATTCCAGCACTTTGGGAGGCTGAGGTGGGTGAATCACGAGGTCAGGATTTCGAAACCAGCCTGACCAACATAGTGAAACTCTACCTCTACTACAAATACAAAAATTAGCCGGGCGTGGTGGCGTGCACCTGTAATCCCAGCTACTCAGGAGGCTGAGGCAAGAGAATCTCTCGAACCTGGGAGATGGAGGTTGCAGTGAGCTGAGATTGTGCCACTGTACTCCAGCCTGGGTGACAGAGTGAGACTCTGTCTCAAAAAAAAAAAAATTGTCTTCTAAAAATTAAATACAAAAATAAATCTATTATTGACATATGTTTCTTGGAAGACCTCATGTTTAACATTAATTTATGTCTAAAGAATATTTTGAGTGTTCAGTTTTCTGTTAGAACATTGTAAAGTCAAGAGTAGAAGATGAAAGTATTTTTTTAACAGCTTTACCTAGTTCTAAAATGTTAGTTATTTGTTGTAAAACATGAAACAAATACTTATGCGTTGGGCACTGTGGGGATATAGAGATGTATGGAGCATAGTCTGGTCCTTTACTTCAAGGGTACAGTAGGCACATGCATATTTGCAATATGAAATAGATTTGTCATTTAGGAAGAGTGATGATTTTAGCCATTTATTTAGCAAATTCTTGTTTTCATATCTGATATGAATCAAGTACTAACCTGGCAGCTGGAAATATATCTATATATAGTTGATCTGGTATCTGAAGGATGCATACAATTTTGATAGTCAGATATGGGAGAATGAGGAAAGATTTTGAAGGGAAAAAGATAAATGGAACAAAAGTGCAAGTGAGAGAAAGGTGATGGCGTTGTTAGGATGCTAATTCTTGTTTGAGGGCTTTCTATGTGTTATTTTCTTTGCTGGGAATTGTTTTTATTGCTTCCCATTGCTGTTCATTTCTACTCCCTTATGATACTAACTCCTATTTTTGTAAATGTATTATTTCTTGCTTTAATTTTTTTTTTCTGGGGCACCTTCCCAGCAAACCTTCCCATGTCTACATGCACCTATTATCTGACTTTCATGTTAGACGGCAAGTTTTGTGGGTTAGGCACCATGTCTGTTTGTCCTGTTGTTGTATCTTAATGGTTGGGCATAGTATCTGGCTTATAGTTGGCTCTCAATAAATATTTGTAGGATGAATAAATAATAAAATGAATAAATGAATTAGTAACTGAATGAACAGATTAGGATGGCATTGGAAATGGATAGAGAGCTGGGATAGTAGATGATATTTATATAATGGCTCAGGATTTTTAGTATGCTGCCACGTATTTGTTTACTGTAAAGTAGGCAGAGCAGTTATACTTTTTCCATTGTGTAGATGACAAAATGATGGTTTGAGAAAGTTTTATCATTTGATACACATAACTGTTTAGGGATGAAGTCTTTTCTTTTAGATTCTATTTCAGTTCTTTTTCAGTAACTCAAGTTTTTTGAAAAGAGTTAGCAGGACTATCTGACTGGAGGTGACAGTGATGGAAGAGGTAAAATTGATTTTTTTAGGTTTCAACGCTTGGTTCTGAAAGAATGGTGTTACCATGAAATAGAAAATTTGAGACTTGGTTTGGAACACATGGGGCTTTAGTGAATTAATATTAGACATGTATAATATATTTAAGGCACCTAAAACTCAAAAAGAAAGGTTAGGGCTAGAGTTCTTGGTTTAGGAGTTTTCCCATTGATAATGGCAGTTAAAGTTGTAGGAGATTGCTGGGAGAAACAGTACATAGAATAATGTTGAGTAGGTTAATTTGGTTGTTCAAAGGTAGGGAATAGGAGGAGTTAAAAGAGGTCTGAGGAGTAAGGGGATTGTGAACTAGTGCTGCAACACAGAAATTAGAAGTAGAAAATTTCAAAGAAGCCATGATAGGCTCTGGTGTCAAAGGCTTTAGACAGGTTAATGAGGTTGGAGACTGAGAAAAATACCATAGATGGTTGTAAGTGGCTTTTAAGGAAATGATTTCAGTAGATTGGAAGTTTAAGGCAAATTGTACTTCTTTACAAAAAGTAGTCTGTTTTCTTGTAATAAAATTGTGGCAAAGTATTAAAGAATTGTATATTATGAGCAAATTACCTAATTCCTGTTCTGTAGTAGTAAACATTATATGTCACATCTGCATATGTCTGTATATTAGTGGGTCAAGCTCTCAGACCTTAGCAAAACTGGAATTAAAGGACAAACCATCTTGCACACACACACATACACACACTCACACTCACATACTTTTTTCCATCACTCCCTTTTGAAAAATTATATATGAAGAATTAGCTCTTTTTGTTTTTTTTTTCAGTGACTTGCAGAAATGGGGAATAACAAACATGGCTAAGGGATGAAGTTAAAGACATGGTATGCTTTTACTCAGCCAAAGCTGTCTTTTTCCTTTGTTAATTTGTCTTCTTCTGACTGGAGAAGTCCACCTCTGATTCAGGTAGCAGAAATGTATTGAGGTGAGGATGATTTGAACAGCTTGCTTGGCCTAACAATGTAATCATTTCCATAGTAAAAACCTGAGAAGATAGGAACCCTTAAGAGATCTAAGGCTGGTTCTTTTCAGTTTAAGAAAAGACTAATTTTTTTCCTTTTTTTTCCCTACCTGTATCTTAACTGTCTATAATCTATATGGAAAATAGTTTAAAAACAGCTGATGATTAACCAAGGTTTACCACAGCTTAAAATCTAAGAAGATAACTAAGGCACATTTAGTTCACATTTTTAAAGTTTTTGGGGGAAAATAGAAATCATTCTTGGGGTTAGGGTAAAGGATTTTGTTAAGAATGTAGTGGGTTTGGTGAGCCTAGTGATTCTACCGCTCAGGATAGGCAAGTAGGTGGAGGAGGATTTCATAATAGCAATTGGGATAATTAATGTGTTGCTTAAAGTGTCTGTATAGCCTGCAGTTCTGTCAGTGGGTTGAGATACCTCAAGACATGCATCTTAATATATATTAGCATTATTTACATAGTGAACTCTTAAAATGCTAGCTTAACCAGTGCTGATGATGAAATTAGTGAATTGTCAGTAAGAATAAATGAAATGTTCATGCTGATGCTTTATACAAAGTGGGCCTATCTCTTTAAGTTATGATATCTAACCTGTAAAATATGTCTTTACAACCTTATAGGAATTACAAAATATAAATAAGAGATGAATGAATATGAAATTGTCAAGCTCTTTTCCTATTTTCTTTACTGTCGATAAACATGTAGAAATTATTACTTTATTTTAGTGAAAGCTGTCCAAGGAGAATTGCATTTCTTTAAGCATTTTTCTCTCTTTCATAGCCTAACCCTCCACATTGCCTTCCATGCTATTGTGCTTGAAGCTTGTAAGACAAACTATGATCAACATAGTGCTCCCGTTGTCTGTTCCTATTCTTTTGTCATTGCTCCTTACTTACCATTGTATTACTCACCTAATCTTACATCCATTTACTTGAGTCTTATTTTTCTTTCAAGAAAAGGTATGGAGCTATCGATGAATTTGTTCTGCATGTCATTAACTGCTGCTGCTTCTGAGTTGACAGTTTTATTTCTGCACCAGTTGTTTGGTCCCTTAGCTTTATGCTAATTTATATTTTTAAAATTTGTGGTAAAAGACATATAACCTAAAATTTACCATCTTAACTATTTTTTT